AGGAAAGCTTGCAAACCCTGAGAAGAAGTTCTTTCTTGAACTGGCAGCTGAGTGCATCCGCCTCGTCAACTTAGAGAAAGACAAAAACGGAGAAAATTGGGCAAAGAAGTCCAAGGCTCAGTGCGGCCTGGATCTTTCTCGTGACGGTGTCTGGAAAGTCGAGCAGCTCAGTAGAGAGCTTCAAGAGATTATTGCGATGTATCCTGACGCTTTTAACGACGGATACAAGGAAGCTGCCAGGTCTGCAGATATATAGTGGTACATTGTTTGTATTCATAATGGATAAATAAATATTTCTACTTTTTCCAAAAGGACTTACATGGCAATTGCAGACCCCTAAGGGATCCTTCTGTGTTATCGCTGCGCGCGGACTCGAACCCGCGATATTGCGCGTGGAACGACGCGGCTAAACCTCTCCACCAATGCCGTCGTTTATTACGAAAGTGCAAAAATGTCGCTTGTGACCTTTCTTGGAATAAATCGGTAATAGTCGTGCACATAATTTAGTCATGCACCAAAATTGATCATGAGCAATTTTAAGCATTTTGGGGATACACGGTAAATAGTCGTGCCACGACTAATTAGGGTGAACGGTGTAAGTAGTTACTACCGTTTGCACTGATGTGAGCTATTTCATAGCGGCTCAGAAATGGCCCGTTATATCGAGCACGACGCTAAACTAAACATATTGTGTAGCGTTTGTATAAGTGTTATTTGAAGTGCTGGTGGTTTTGGATGGAGTATGAAGATTCAGTGAAAGCCAGCAATAAAAAAGAGATTGCATCAAGAATCTTGATATAAGATCATTAGAATTTTTATTTCTTAAATCAGGTAGCATGATGCTGACCCAAATTAATATATTAAAAAAATCGATTTAGGTACACATCGATTTTTTCAATAGTTAGCGGAGCGGAGGCAGGAAGGCCAAAGTAAGTAGAACTAAACCTAAACTACCGCCGCGTAGCGGCGGCGCTCGGCTAGTTATAATACATGTAGCAGTGCTCCGACTTACGCAAACCAAACCCCAGTGTCGCTGGAGCGATTGCCGCAGCAGCGCCACAAGGGTCAGTGACCATTGTGACCATTGGTCACCATGACGGTCACGTGAGAGTGTTAAATTCAATGAATCTGGCGCCAGGATTCAGAAGATGCGCCGACCAGCTGGAGGTCTCGGATGGCGTGCGAGGGTAAGTATAGGAAGGATAAATGACGGAACGGTCACTCACTAATCTCACTTTCCATTCTGCTTTCTTTGTGAAATTTTAAAAACAGTGAATTGAAATATCTAAGTAACTGTTAAAAAAATCAAACGAGATTCTGTGAGTAATGACGAATGAAAATGGAAATTAGGTTTATAAAACTAAAACAATTATTTGAAAAATTTTGAAAAATTTACTTAAGAAGGTGAAAGTCCTGTAGAATAATTATTAATTTTATTATAGTAAAAAGAGGTATGTGTAATCTTTTTTGAATATTGGGGAACCACCCTCAAAACCTTTTAAAAATTAATGATCGATAGTGAACAAGTACTGTAAAGGAAAGGTGAAAAAGAACTTTTGAGTTTGAAATAATTCTGAAACTTAATGTTAATAATCAATTGGAACTTTTTTAAAAAGTGACAGTGTACCTTTTGCATAATGGGCCAGCAAGTTTATTTTTATAGCAAGCTTAATTTAATAAAGTAGGCGTAGATAAATCAAGTTTTAAAAAGCTTTTTAGTTATATAAATAAGACCCGAAACTGAGTGATCTAACCATGAACAGATTGAAAAATAGGTAAAACTATTTGGAGGATCGAACTCACATATGTGGCAAAATATGGAGATGATTTGTGGTTAGGAGTGAAAGGCTAATCAAACTCAGAGATAGCTGGTTTTCCGCGAAATCTATTGAAGTAGAGCATTTAAAATCTTTTTTTGGGGTAGAGCACTCATTGAGCTAGGGGGTGTAAAAACTTACTAAATTCTTAGAAACTCCGAATACAAAAAAAAGTAATTTAAATAGACAGACATTAGGCGCTAAGGTCTATTGTCAAGAGAGAAACAGCCCAGATTGATCGCTAAGGTCTCTAAATAATATTCTAAGTGAAAAAGGAAGTGAAAAAATTATTACAACCAGTAGGTAGGCTTGGAAGCAGCCATCCTTTAAAGAAAGCGTAATAGCTCATTGGTCTAGTTTTTTTGCGCCTAAAATGTATCGAGACTTAAGAAATTTACCGAAGCGGCAAGTTTTATTTTAAATAAAACGGTAGCGGAACATTCTGTATGTTAATAAAGATATATTGTGAAATATATTGAAGATATCAGAAAAGAAAATGCTGGCATTAGTAACAAAAAATAACGTATATGAATCGTTATCACCGTAAATCCAAGGGTTTCTATGTTAAAATGTATTGCATAGAGTGAAACGGCCCCTAAGAAAGATTTGACGAAAGCAAATTTTGATGGGATAATTTTTAAATTAAATTTTTTTAAAAAAGTGACAAAAATTTTTTAATTTTCAGG